CTGTAAGTCCCCATGGTCCCTATTATTGTGATCTACCTTTTAGTTGTTGGCGATCTATAGCCTGTTTTTATATTGTATTACATAGTTAAGATATTTTAAAGTTTCATATTAGTTTTACAAATATATCTGTGATATTCTAGTTACTTTTACTGTCCTTCGCCGACAGGTTTTTAGAATTTACTATGATTTCTTATGACATTATAATTTGTTTTTAATCACGATAAGGCTGAAATATTGCCGATGTGACGTAAAATTTGAACTCACTCACTGAGGGCATATCATTATCCAAGAGGTACCAAATGACAGATCGTTTTTCATTTTCTGCAATTATTTAAGAAATATTATACATGAATGTATTGTGATGACTAATATATCGTTAACCACATTACCCACTTATGTGGCTTTTTGGATGTGGATTTGCTAATCATTCTTCCAAAATAAAATGGAAGCTTTTCAAACATCGGACATCGAGAATATAGTTTTAGGCTGACTACTTTTTGAACGACCCTCGTTCACATAACATGTCATGAAAGTAGCAGTCGCTCTTCCGACTGATATTGCCTCAAAACCAGCATATCATAACAATACCTTATATCGCAGAGAAACACATTAGTATGGCAAAAGACAATTCGGGGAAAACAGTATTTGTTATGCATTTTTACAAACCAGTTTATCATATTGGAACTTAAAACGAGGAGAATTTCATTCCTGTTTACCAATGAGTCCTACATGTTTGTACTCCGCTGGCAAGAGAGCTGTGTCTGTGCTCGTAGAAAACCAGGCCCGCGTTTCACAAAAGCCTCCTAAATTTAGGAGGTCGTAGCCCATACGACCTTGTTTACGACCCTCTTCCGACCTCCTTTACGACCGTTTCACAAAGACGTCGTATCCATGTGGTACGACTCGGTCCTAAATCCATGTCGTACATTGTATAAGAGGTACTTTGTTGCATAGCAACGCATAAAGCGAGACCGAACGGGCACCTGCTTATCTTGTTATTCCCAAAGTATTTCAAAATAGAAATACAGTTTGAATAACTATAAAAATGTTATTTTTTAATTCAATGTACAGGTTATATTATCGTAAAAAAATATCAATAAATGAATTATTTTGGATTCTCTCACTAAATTCCATTGAAAATTACAAGATAAAATGTATCAATCATTTCCATTAATATTATCAGTTTTACTTGATCTTACAAGGTTTGAATTAAATCGCTGTCCATTAACTTGTTCATATGATACTGCAATATTAGTCCCAATATATTGAATATTGCACACTATAGGACCTAAAGTCAATGTTGCTATTTATTACCCACGTGGTCAACGTATGGGTAGTTGCATACTAATCTCGTGCGTCACACGAGTGTCGTATCGCGTTGACCTGTGTCGTAACGACTTGACCTGAGATTCTAACGATTTGATTGGATAACCGATGACCTCTCAGTTAGGTCACGTTGTGACGGAACTACTTTTTCATTCATAACAAACACGTGAATTCATTCATTCTACAAATGTTACTACAACGAGACATCTCACATGATCGTGATTACTTGAAATATTACAAAAACACATAAAAGTTAAATATTAAAAACTACAAGAACTCGAGTATACGTATCAATCACAAATTCTAATTAATTTACAGTTTTTTGAAAATAGATAAAAGTTCGTCTGCTGTGTTTTGCTGTTTTGCTCATGAGAAAACATGGCCACTCCCGTTCGTGTTAATGACTCCGTGAAAATCGATGGAACAGTTCGAGGGAGAGTCACTTCCACCGTTAAACCTCTGGGAACATTCAGTGTTTTTAATGTCAAAACTTTGGATGGGGAAATAAGGCAAGTACACAGACACAGACTTACTGTGGTTCCTGAAACTGTATCAATGGCCCCTCCCACTAACATTGATCAGCTTTCACTACCGGAGGATATTTTGGAAGAATTTATGAAAGATAACTTCTTTGAGGAGGTAAATGATGAAAGTTCTTTCAGCTATGATTGTTCAAACATCGACAGTTACATCCAACAAAATCGGAATCAAAACACTTGGCGAAAGACTGACTATGACATAAACATTCTCATGAAGTTCATGAAGTCAAATGGCGACACAAGACCAGTTGAAACTATACCCCCGCCAGAACTGTGTGACATTTTGTGCACCTTTTTCATTGAAATAAAGAAATCTAATGGCGAGGATTATGAGCCCAGCTCACTTACATCAAAACTGTCCAGTTTTGACAGATATTTGAAAGGTAGAGGGTACGAAAAGTCGTTACTTAATGACAGGGAATTCTCCAAAGTACGCGAGGTTCTATCAACTAAACAAAAGATCCTGAAGAGTGAGGGACTCGGCAACTTACCTAATAGGGCTGAAAGTCTGTCTCCAGAGGAAATCCAAACACTCTACGATTCCGGAGAATTAGGTCCCAGTAATCCAGAGGCGATATTAAACACATTGTGGTGGAACAAAACAAGGCATTTTGGCATCCGAAGTGTTAAACCACAGACGGAGAGACATTCAGGTGAAATCAGATTCTGATGGAGGGGAGTTCTTGGAGTATAATGAACGCCAAACGAAAACCTGCACCGGCAGTGACATCCGCAACGTCCGAGACGTCGCTCCCCTTGCATGGGCCACTAACGACGCTCACTGTCCCGTATCCCTGTACACGTTGTACGCCAGTCTCCGTCCTAGAGATTACGTCTCTCCTGACACGCCTTTGTATTTGGCCACAAATTCAAAGTCAGCTCTAACAGATAACCATCCTTGGTTTAAACGCGGCCCCGTTGGCAAAAATAAACTTGGATCCATAATGAGGAAAATGGCTAGTTCAATTGGCATTACCGGCAAACGTTTGACAAACCATTCAGCTAGAAAGACCATGATTCAGTCTCTTCGTTCCAGTGGTGTTGCTGGGACTGAGATAATGCAGATTTCGGGACACAAAAACATTCAGAGCGTGAACAATTACTCTAGTATCACAACTGTCCAGCACCGTCAGCTGAGTAACATGATTTCCTGTGATGGTGACCTTGCCCTTCCGCAAACCATGGCGTCACATTCCAATGCAGTCACTGCTAGCATATATGCTAGGCCATCACTGACACCAACTTCTGCTCGTTCTGAGTTTGTCAACTCAGTATTCTCTGCCCCAATCTATGGTGGAACAATAAACATTAACTTCTGTAGTAACCACTGTCAGGTCGAGGGAAAGCCTGAAAATTCCACTTCGTGTCCAGTGACCGATAGCGCCGACTCAAACTTAAACTAACACGTGAAGTGACGGTTGACGGTATGTCATGCGGGGTGATGCGAGTTGCAAATTGATCTTTCGTTATTATTCTATAATGAGAAATATTTGATTCTCTTGAAGCTTGTGTTTGCTGTTATTAAAATTTTAAACCGTTTCCACAAATTTTGTCTTCATTATTAAGTAAAAAACAAGAACTATTTTCAATTGCGCATATTCAGGAATGTCAAAAGAAGTGCAAAGGTTAGTCCTCAACAAAACCTATTTATGAAACCGGTTTCGGTTTGAAAGCCTAAAAATAACAAAAACTACGCTATTTTGTCAATTTCTATGCAGGTAAGACGTGGGTAATAAATAAAATACCACACTCGGTCTCATTACATACGAATTATACGAAACTCGTGACCTTCCTATGGTATCTGACCTCGCTGATTCTAGGTTCATCGGCAGCGTTTCAGATTATCATTAGTGATATCTTGAAAAACTGATTTCAGTGATCATTAATATGTTATTTTTGGAAATTCAGTACTCCCAGTAATTATCCGATTTTCACATTTGAAAACATACTGTCTACACTGTACAGCAAATAATGCTGTGAATCGTGATTTCGTATTGTGTATGGCGACATTTACGATAAAGACTATTTTGAAAGGTTATTTAAGCACTTTAGCTTTGTCTGAGATTTTAAAGGATGGTATCAAGAAACAGGGAATTTCCCGCAGAATACAAAACTGTGAAGTTTGTGTGCGTGACATATTTAGAATTTTATTGGACTTCAAAGTGAGGGTTGAAGAGGAAGGACATATGTCCCTGTGGCACCCAGGGGGTTTTAATCAAGTCCAGATACACGGCCAGAGCACTAGCGGTGTCGCGGAGTATTCTTGACACACTAGCTCGGGATACTCCATGGAGATCCCCGATTTCACTGAGGAAAACCCCTTTTTCCAAATACCTCTGTGCACACAACACTTGCAGGGAGGTCGGAATAGCATGTGAACGCCTTGTAGGTTTGTTCAGTTGGGGCTCTAACTTACTGCACAGTTAGAAAACATCATGAGTGTCGTGCACGTTCGACCTGTCTCAAAATTTCTCAGGTCTTCTTTGTTAGCGCGTTTTAATCACTTGCAGTGCCATAAACGTTGACGCCATCTTTGTAGTGTTTACGACCTCCTAAAGCATTTACGACAGGTCAATTGGGGTCCTAAATTTTGGGCTGTTTACGGCACAGTGTAAATATACGAGGTCTTTGTGAAACAGGGTAAAAGTAAACGACCTGCTTTACGAGGTCGTACCGGTAAGAAGGGCTTTGTGAAACGGGCCCCACAAACAGGAATGGTAAAATATATGTACAGTAAATCTCTCTCTCTCTCTCTCTCTCTCTCTCTCTCTCTCTCTCTCTCTCTCTCTCTCTCTCTCTCTCTCTCTCTCTCTCTCTCTCTCTCACACACACACACACACACACACACACACATGCAACGATACTGATTATAGATCGAATAATTCTACGGTTCGGAAACGTATGATGTCCGAACAAATCTGATCCGATATATAATGACCAACAAAAGAAACGCAATTCAAGAAATCAAAACAATTGTGTTAAAGTATCAAATGCAAACTCATGCTGAATAAAGTATAACTTTCATTAATTCTGAGTTACGTTTTTATTGCTGGTCAGTATAGTATAAATAGTATAGTATATACATGCTTGTGGTGAACAGTTACCGATAAACACTAAACCTCACTTTCTTTTCAGTGAAAATGTAGAGTCGATAACAACCTACAGGGCATCAAAGTACACAACGAAGTGTGGTTTTTGGGGTTTGAGTCGATGCTCAAGATACCGGTAAACACCTTCAGTTATTGTTGTTGTTCTTATCTGCAATATATTTTCATCAGTATACTACTTACCACATCATCCAGATGGTACTAGTTAGTCCTGGTATATGATTTCAGAGCAAACATCAATCGAACGGTCACGGCACTGCTTAGTACAAAGGCAAACTATTTGACAGAACTGAAGTAACCAAAATATAAAATTTAGTTGAAGCAGTTACTCGTTAGAAATATCAAAGCATATGCTATAGACACTGTTCATTAAGGCTGAAAACCTACTGCATCAAAAACAAGTTGCACATACATATGGTGACAGTAGTCAGCGCATTCGTCTGTAATTTCAATTTCAATGTCTTTATTCCAACAAACCACAGCGGTGGTACAGGAACATTTTACAGTATGAATATTCAATAGCTAACATGTGACCACTTATCGAAATATGAACATTTAAACAGATCATGAAACTCATCGCTATCGTTTGGCAGTTTGGCAGATGGCATTTTCTTAACTGTCTTTGGTAGCGACCGGTCTCTACTGGTAAATAATGATTAGAGGTTGTAAACCACTTTATTAGGTTTGTGATATGTTTTGGGAAAAGCAGATATGGTTCGAAAGTTATCCTTTAATAGTTTATAATAAGTGCCTTTAGAGCTACTGTACACAGTTTCATTTTACTTTTGTATGAATTGATCTTTTAGTGACAGAGACAGAGACCAGCCAATGGCTTGACACGGAACTAGGGTTTTTAAAAATATAGGTTAAGTCAGAGTTATTTTAAATACTCTCAATGTGACTTAACCACACATAATTGTTTGAGAGTGTTATCTAACGTACTAAGTTGATGCAAACCTGAGGATAACTTAACTGGATAAGGAACAGCTTGTAGGCCATACCAGAAAGCAATCATTTTCATAGCAATAGTGATATTAACTGGAACTCTTCCTAACTCCCCGTAGACCATGAAATTAGTGGTAGATTGACTGAGACCAGCTGCCAGTTTTAACAATTTTAAGTGGATCTTTTCAAAATTATTAATATTTTCGTGTCCCCAAATTTCGGACCCGTATAAAACCATGGGTAATACAAAAACATCGAAGAGTCTAAAAGGGGATCTAGAGCTAGGTTTAAATTACGAGATTTCTTTAAGAGCGCAAACATTGCTATTTTAGAATTTGATAAAAGATCATTAATTGCATAATTAGGTCTACTGTTTTTTAATTAAAATTAATGCCTAGGTATACAAATCAACAGTTTCAACAGGTTGCGAACAAAATCGAAAATACATTTTTGAACATTGTGTTCAAGAACCTCCGCCAGAAATTATTTTAGTTTTATTGTGTTTACCGTAAGTTTCCAGCAATCACAATAATCTTTAAATACATCCAACGAGAGTTGCAAATATTTCGCACTGTCTCCTAGGAGGATAGCATCATCGACATACAATAAAACAAACATTTTGATACACATCAATACATAATCATCATCTGCACAATTAAAATTTATCCCTTTGCAACCCCTAGGTATCTCCTAGGTATACATGAGTGAGTGAGTTTACTTTTACGCCGCACTCAGCAATATTCCAGATATTTGGCGGCGGGCTGTAAATAATCGAGTCTGGACCAGACAATCCAGTGATCAACATCATGAACATCGATCTACGCACTTGGGATACGATGACATGTGTCAACCAAGTCAGCGAGCCTGACCACCCGATCCCGTCTCTTACTACAGGCATGGGTTACTGAAGATCAATTCTAATCCGAACCTTCACGGGTTCCCAGGTATAAGTCTAGATCATTGAGAAATAATGAAAAGATTAATGGTGATAAGTTTTCCCCTTACCGTACCCTAGAGTGACTAAAAAAATAGAATTTTGGTTATTAACCATTAGACATGATTTGATGTTACTGTACCTATTTTTAACTAACTTCAAAAAAAATTCCATCTATATTATTTGTTAACATTTTTTCAAAATACCTATTTCCAAACGTTACCAAAAGCTTTGGAAAAATCATTAATTGCACAGTGTAATTTCTTCTCGATGTCTTGAAAATTTGAGTTAACATATGTTATGTGAAAAAGTTATCTAGAGTTTACATTTGCTTTCTGAAACCTGCTTGAGCAGCGCTTAAAATCTTATTAATTTCCAGATACCTATTGTAGAACATTCAAAATACTGGTAATCAGTTTCGCGAAACAGCTAACAATGGTAAGTGGCCGGTATGTGTTCGGACCAGAAGGGTTACCCATTCTCTTATATATAGGCCGAATGACCCCGGGCATTTGACCAGGCTTCGGGCATAATGCCAGATGAAAAGATCAAATTAAAATACGAAACATAAATGTCACATAGAATGTCAAAAGTGTCAATTAAATAGTTATTTTGAATCTGGTCTATACCTGCTGATTTCTTACGATTTAGTCTATTTAACCTTGAGGCTATGTCTTCAGCAGTGATATCGTTATTCAATAGAGAATTATCACAAGGTAATGTAAAGTCATTAATGTCATTTACATCGTGGCGACACTTCTCGTTAATTATTTATTTTGGAAGAAGTCATGAAATTCTTTCAAACTAGGAGTATTAAACTTGTTTTGCCACTTTTTGTGTGTTATGGGATTTCAAGAATTGATTTCCAGAATTGCTTGGGAGAATTTTATATTAGTTTCTTAACATATTGCTAGTTTCATCTTTGTACCGTTTAATATGCTTGTTTGGATATTTTTTATACAACTTTCCATACTGACGATAATAAGAAGTATTAACATGATTTCTGACTTTTCCGAACAGGCAGGTGTCAAAGAAGAGTCTCAGATGCAAACCAGGGTACAGAACAACAGATAACAAAGGCTGCCCACATCGTACGTGAATTGTGCTACTTGGGTTGAGTAAGCCTCACTACAATGGTTGTGATTATGATCTGACGATCTGTATAACTTGGTAACAACATTTAGACTGGTCATCTGTTGATTTTCATGTACAGACGATTCAGCTTAGGCTCACTAAGGCAATATCATAAAAAAAACCATTGATTCTTCTAATCCCCTTTATTACCGTACACATATAATACTGCTATTTCTTTTGATTTTACATGAACATCTTCAATCATAATGATGTAATGATGAAACACCATTTACACATTGCAGCTATATGTGACAATCAGATCCTCTCCGCTGCTTGCAACATCGACTACAGGTCATCTCACATAGTCTACAATAACGGCACGACACAGTACAAGAGTGGGGGCAAGTGTACTTCCCCTGGGATCTGTGCCGAATGTAATGAAGGTTTTTACCCAAGCAGAGAACGATGCAGAAGTACGTGTACATAGGTTTCCTTTCATTATTTTTTTTTAATTCAGGACCTTTCGGTCACTTTCGCATATGTGTGTGAGTAGATATGTTCTTGTGTACCGTTTTACAAAAACGAAGAAATGTCACATCACCTTTTCAGTTGTCTACTAAGCATATCACAACTGTTAGCTGTTTTGTCTCCAGTGTGCAGCGCCATCAGTAACTGTGACCTGGAGACATGCACCAGCAGCAGCAACCAGGTGTGTCGTCGCTGTAAGGGGGTCGTGCTGGACCAGCCAGGACACAGGGCTTATGTGGCTTCTTTTGGTAACAAATCATGCATACGTGAGTTGAATATCGAGTCAATAATATGTTGAATATAAAACAATAGCAGTTGGAAAACATTATAGCGATCAATTGCAAATAGGGTCCTTATTTTGATACATTGTGATTGCTGCTCATTTCCAATTTACCGAGCTATGGAACTCGTACAAACAGCCTTGAATTTTAAAATATTACTCTGGGATGTTGATTCATATTTCAATGACTTGTTTGAGTGGTATTTTAGGAGTTTGGAGGTACACTAATTATCAATTACCAATATATGGATAACACGTTTATTCTGCAATTGTAACGGTACAGATTCTTCTAACGTCGTCGAGCAGGCATGCAGCAGGGTATATATAGCCTGGGTGTAACAAATAAAACAACATAATTCAAAATAATTGTTTGTTCATAAAACCAATGAATGATCAAATGGATTAGAGATGTAATAAAATGATAGTTTAGAAAGGAAAAGAGGTCACATAGTTGAAAGGGCTTGTCTGGGGAGTCCATCACAGGCCGGAGGAATGAAACATCTTTGATCTCTGTTGATGGCGGGCTTTTGGCAGTTCATGTGAATGGCTTAAATGAGTTTGCGTTTACTGAAATCAGTTTGATCGTCTGCAAAATGGGGTTGTCAGTCCAGTATATTTAGTGATTTTGGTTTGTTTTGATGTAATCAGAGATTTCAAATTTGCTGCTGAAATTGGCAACGCAAATAGGATGTTCTTTCACTCGGGTGTTAATGGTTCGGGATCTTTCGCCTATGTAGCTCTCTCCACAATTGCAGTAAGTGTATAAAAGCACATTTCGGGTTGTGGCAGTTAGTGATATTCTTCCGTCAGCATGATTGCAGAGACTGAACAATGGTGAGAAGGTAGTATATATGTCTGCTTGCTGTTTCAGGAGTCTGCTGAGTTGGTGTGATTGTTTACTAATGTAGGGACTCTTTGATGGGGGCTGGATCTGCTTTAGGTCGTTTGGAGGAAGGTGGAAGAGTTGCTACAGTGCCTCTGTGGACTATTTTAGAGTTGTTATCCATAAATCTGTCATTGATTCAATGTCTATGTCACAAATCATGGAATCGTTCTTCTATTCTTCGCCCGCGAAGATCTGGTTTAGAACTGGTCTTCAGTAACCCATGCTTGTCGTAAAAGGCAACTAGAAGGATCGGGTTGTCAGGCTGGCTGACTTGGTTGACACATGTCAACGTATCCCAGCTGCGTGGAGCGATGTTCATTCTGTTGATCACTGGATTGTCTGGTCCAGACTCGATTATTTAACTGGAATGTTGTGGCGTTAAACAACTAAACCTAACCAAATCTTCTGTTCATTAAGAAAATCATTTCCAGTCAAGTGAGGAACATGGAACTAACAGCTCTACACAGTCAATGTTTATGTAGTTCTTCTGACAACAGATCAAGTAGAGGAAGGATAGCATGGCTTGTCGACATTTCACAAAAGAAAACACATTAAAGATTAAGATGGTTTATTGTTTGTTTTCAAGGCCTCCGACCCACAAACATATCATCACAAGATAGACTAAGTACGGACAATGTACCCAGTGAAAGGCACCATAACATTGTGTAATTAGTTTCCAGCAGACGTCAAACTGTTTCTTCATGTCAGTTAATATGACTTGATGTGTAACTGTAATGAATCCTAGATCGTACATTTGTGTCAACAGAGGCGTGTTCGTGGCGGAGTGACAGCACCCGGTGTTATCCCGGGACCTGCAGGAACGAGTACGCCAGTCACTGTGCCTGCTCCAGCGGCTTCACAGGGAAACATTGTCAGACAAGTGAGTTGACGCATTATAGCATTACATGCAACAAAAACAAAATATAAACAAATACTTTCTTTTGAGAGCAAAGTGAGTGAATGGTGGGTGTTGCCTGAGGCCGAAGGGCATGCTTAAAATGTTCGTGAAGAAATGGCGATATTTACAAAAGAAATTAGGTTTGAAAAACATACTGAAGTCTTGAGAAAACCATTTCTTTACCTTTTCTGACTAAACTTGTAAGATTCCTCTTATCATATATCTACTCGTGAAGCAACATGCATGTGTTTGCAATTTCTTAAGTTTTGGTTGTAGCAAACTTAAATACAAAGTGTTTGTCTAAAGTCATTGAACAAAATGGCTGTCAAACCGCTGAAAGATTACATGGATACAACGAAGGAATTATTTCGGCGATACCGTCGACATTGAAATTTTATTAGGTTCGTAGCTACTCACTAATTTCCTGAGACCACAATCTACAACAGGTACGTGTACTTTCGTGGGACGTTGCTAATTGTGATCAGCAACTTAGAGTAGTGTCCCTTGTATTTACCTAATTGTTTTACCGATCATACTCATTCATGCTAGGGAGGGCACATGCGCTGGAGCTGTTGGGTTAGTGCTCGACATAAAAGGGAGGTTGACTATTGGCAGTTGAAATCATCCCTTTTGTCATACAGTCATGTGGAGAGTCGTTTTGTATTTTTGGCATTCTGATTCTTTATGAATAGATCTAAATAACAGTTGAGGCGGTCTCACTTGTCTCCTTAAGTTCAAGTTCAGGTGGGTAAATCAGTGGGAGGCAAATGGCGATTTGATGGTTATTGAATCATCGATGTACCGGAAGCTCTTAAATTAAACTTCTTGGGCAAATTACCTTGTTTTGATTTTGCCAACCCAAACAAAGATAATAATTACAGTTTTATAAATATCAACTCTTTTCTCAGACTTAGCTGTATCAGAGTTTCAAAAAATAGATTAAAAAAACTGAGTTTAGGTTTGAATTTCACACACCTGGTGACATAACCTGGTGATTCATTCACCCAATTTTGATTCTGAGTCTTTGAATCTGTTTCACTAGCGTTCACATTTCATATTCAGGTAGTCACATTGTACCTCTACCTTTGTCAAATGCTTACCAGATGAATATATACTTTGAGTGTTACCTAGAAGTATCAACGAAAATATAAATCTTTTTAATTAAAGCTTAGTGTATTTCAGTCATAGACGAGGAAAGATGTTCGTATATTTGTAGATGAATGTTACAGTAACTGAGAAGCCCGCAATAAACTTCAACCTCCTTAGACTGACCGACAGCAACGGGGACATGATAGAGGCACCTCCCAACATCAACAGTGGTCCATCTCAGTCCACCAGCTGGTCAAACATCAACTCTCCATCCAGAATGTACTACAGGTTTACGGCAGAATACAGAATGGTACCTCCATCCAGACTTGCCTTCATTGAAGGTTTCCGTGTTGGAATCGTCAGAGGTTTTGCTTCATTCAGACTCAAGAGAGGTGCGTTTAATATCAGCATTGAACAGTATGAATATGCACAACATATGATCATCCCCCTCAACAACATTATCAACTCACCTGACTGTGTTGTTGTACCAAGGATCACTGTGTTGTTGCAGGTGTTGTCTCCACTAAAGTATATAACTGTGGAGGAGCCAGCCGAAGCAGCCCGGACACAGACCTGTACACCTGTGAAGGAAACCGACCATGGACGTCTGTACTACCTCTACCCTTCCAACACAGAGATGTGTGAGTACTTGGAAGATGAATCTGTTTGACACGATTTGATTCTATAGCTGTTTTTGTTTCAATGAATGTAAATACACCTTTCTTACCGCGATGATGTTGTGGGCTTTTTTTGCTAATGCTATAATGAGCCTGAATTTTTACCCCGAGATCCAATCAGGTTTGCTACATTTCAGACACGAGGTGTTATTTTAAATTTCTGCTTTCATCATCAAATTTAGAATCTGGATGTCATACAAACTTCTAAAAGTAAAACTAAAGAGTAATTAAATGAGAGTTATAATGGCTTACGTTGATCAGTTCCATGCATAATTAATACATAGTTGATGGCCACCTTTAAAACTATGTATGTTCTCAAACCATTGAAGATTAGTAACCTACAGAGCTTTCAATATAAGTTACAGAAGTTAATATAACTTCCATCATCATTATTGTCAAATTTGAACATTTTTTTCAGAATTGAATTCACTTATTCAACAAGTAATGGAGGGTATGTAAAGGTCCGGAACAAGGAGAGTAACACACTAGCGACCTACTACTACAACGGTGCCACACAGACCCACACCTTTAATGTGTCCATAGACCTGGTGGATCCCTATCACTGTACTGGTACTACTGCCTGTGTTGGCAGCATGCTGACTGTTCCCGATGTTATCAAGACTGTAAGTATATGATCACAGTTATATTTTACACCTGATTATTAACTGTAAACAGGAAGAACGTTCATATGACTTGTTTCAGTCCACAGTGAACCTCCGCTGGAGTGGCTGGTCAGATGCTGACGCAGGAGTCGACCACTTTGTGAGGGACGTGTATGACCTCCAGGCTGTTGGTGATGTACTCAGAGATAAACATCGTGTTGACACTACAACGTTGACTAGCTCAACGGTGAGGAAGCCATTATTGTAGATCCAATATTTTAAAAACAACTCTCATCATATGTAATTATGAATCAACAAAATGTCATTTAGAAAGCGGCGAAATGTAACACGTTTTATTTGTGAGATTTCTCAGATTCTAGTGCTTGGGAGGTTTGTGTCCCATCCGGGTCTCGAAACCTCACACTCTCGAAGTCATGCACCTAATCTCTACTTTACACTTGTCAGTGGGGTACTAAAAGTTTGTATGTGGAGTACCTCTTTTCAGATTTCCATTTTTGACGGAGATCACTGACCGTGTGTACAGAAAGTACCAGCATCTGTACTTCGCCCAGAAAGTATAAACAGAAATATAATATATGTTAGGTTGATGATTTATTGCGGTTTTATAGTAGCAGCAAAATGTTTGTGTGATAGTAGGTAGTATAAATCATCATCTAGCTGATTTAAGTGACAAATGCATTACGTGCAACGGGCTTAGTTCAACCGACATTAATTCACCTGACATTTGGACCGGTGGTCACGTGTTCAACAGGTGTATGTATTGTTTACATATGTAAATGAAGTTATGTAATCTTGAAAGCGACCTGGACAACGTACGTCATAACCAAGAAGTCATGAACGAGGACGTCAGCCTGGTAGCGGAGAGGATGGACAGCATGGAGCAGAAGGTCACCCAGTTCGACAGTGAGCTCGACAAGCTGGAGGCCTTCAGCAGGCGGGATAACGTCATCATCTGCAACGTGGCGGAGGAGAGGCACGAGTCCTATACCGACTGTAAATCCAAAGTGATCGATGTCTTGAATGAAAATGTAAAGACTAAAACATGGAATAATAATGATGTCGCCCGTGCCAATCGACTCGGCGCTCCCCGTAGTGATGGTTCAAAACCAAACTGCTCATTGCCAAGTTACGTTTTAGTGAGGATAAGGTTGATATTTTGAAATCTCGAGCAGCACTGAAGAGTAACGGCTACGGCGTATCCAGTGATCTCACTGTCAGACAACGTGAACAACTGAAGGACGCGAAGGAAAGGGGACTGATAGGATATTTCAAATATGGAAAGCTAATTACAAGGCCACGCGATGAAGAAACTCCACGCGAAACGGAGACACCCGAGAGAACGAGACCACCAACGAGAAGTAAGTCTCAGCGCGATGGACAGAAGAGGAGGTAGCAATCAGGCCAGGCCCCAGATCCCTTCACTGAGGGAACTACGAACATGGACACCGGTAAAACTAATCATGTGTCTTTTCTTATCTGGAACATTCATGGACTATTGAAGAAACTTGATGACAGTGATTTTATTGATTATCTTTATTCATTTCACGTTGTATGTTTGCTGGAAACGTTCATAACAGATTTCATGAATCTAAACTGGTTAACAGGATACCAATTGTTTTTCGCCCCAGCCGCTAAGCTGTCCACATCTGGCAGACACTCAGGTGGCGTGTGTGTATGTGTGAGACAGGACATCTGCAAAACCAAATGTGTTGAACTGAAGACTGAAATCAACATTTTGTGTGTTTGAAATTCCATAGATTTGTATTTAATCTACCAAATGACTTATTTCTTGTTTGTATATATGTTCCCCCTGTGAATTCTCCGTTTTACGACCGAAGTACTGATTCAAGATGTGTCATTGAAAGACAGGAGTCGTGTTTATTAGACAACTGGTCTGATATGTCTACTTCGCATGTACTGCTATGTGGCGATTTTAATGCTCGTACTAGTAATGAAAATAATCCTATTTGCGAAGATCGGGATGAATTTGGTAATGATGATATCTATACAGATGTAGATAATGCTCCTGTTGACCAGCGTGTGTCACATGACAGTATCGTTAACAGATTTGGGCGTGTACTACTGAATCTGTGTTATGTGTGTCGCTTGTTCATAATGAACGGTAGAGTAGAAGGAGACAGAGGTGGAGAGTTTACATTTGTTGGAGCAAATGGCTCAAGTGCCGTTGATTATTTTCTTGCATCTGCTGATTTGTTTGAGTTCGTAGAAAAGTTAAATGTTGGCGATAGACCTGATTCTGACCATTTTCCTCTGGAGTTGTCGTTCAGGTTTCCTTGTACATACCGGTCTTACCGGACAGTTGATTGTGCTAAGACCCTAGTTTTAGTAAATTTGTATGGGATGCTTCTCAAGCAGAATGAATTTATAAGTTCTCTCAAAGCAAGTTTGGATGCCAATAATGAGTCAATATTTAGTAAATTGGAGACTTCTCTTGAAGAGGGCATAGACAATTTCATAAAGTGTATATTAGATTCAGCATCTTGTATGAGGAGACAGTTTAGACAAGGTGATCTAAATCGTAAACTTTAATTTAACAAGGAGTGTAATGTAGCTAGATCGGAATCAAGGAAGGCTCTTAGGCGGTTTGAGGCGTTGTCGCACTGAGCAGAATCGTAGGAGCTATTGTAAAATTAGAAATAAGTATAAGAGTTCCTGTAGAGCTTTTAAGCGTGGAGTGCAAAACTCAAGGCTATGTCGACTAAATAGTACCCTCCACAGTCCTAGGCTGTTTTGGCAAAATATTCGCACCCTCACAAAGAGGCTCCCCACCCGTATCAAGTATATCACAAACAGAATGGTTTTGCCTCTTCAGGGACTTGTTGTCTAAGGACGATATTATCTATGATGTACATGATGACACAATAGATACAGATAATGGATGCGACGAGATTAGTGATGTTGATAAGTTTCTACTTGAGTCTCCTATTACAGAATTAGAAATAGTTGATGCTGTATCTCGCCTTAAAGTTGGAAAGTCTGCTGGTGTGGATGGTGTTATTTCAGTAATTATCAAAACTGCCTTGCCTGAGATAATGCCGTTTCTAGTTAAAAGCTTTAATCGGATATTTTATTCTAGCTGTTTTCCGTCTGAATGGGCTGAATCAATAATTGTTCCATTATTTAAGAATGGAAACATAAATAACCCTAACAATTATCGGGGCATATCTCTGACAAGTGTTGTTGGTAAAACATTTGTATCTATTATCAACAATAGGCTAACACAGTGGTCAAATATGAGGGACTTGATCCCAGATTCACAAGCTGGATTTAGAAAGGAATACTCAACCTTTGATCACATTTTTAATGTATACTCAGTAATTGAGCGATGTTTAGCTTTTAGTAAAAGAAAATTGTATGTAGCCTTTGTTGATTTTAGAAAGGCTTTTGATTCTGTTGACAGAGATAAAATGTGGAAATGTCTTAGAAATAGGGGTCTTAAAAGGAAAATGTTTGATATTATCAGGTCAATGTATTCAAATGCCAAAGTCTTGTGTTCGATGTGATGATGCTTTCAGTGACTATTTTTGATTGTCCTACTGGTGTACGACAAGGCTGTGTTCTAAGCCCCATACTTTTCTCATTCTTTATCAACGAACTATATTTTGACGTTATACAATCTGGCAGACATGGCATCCAATTATTTCCTGATCTTGTTGAACTTTTATTTTACTTTTGCCGACGATGTGATCCTTATGTCAAGTACTGTTATTGGCCTTCAGAGACAAATTGATACACTTCCATCTTATTCAGATAACTGGCGACTTGATGTTAATCTTGAAAAGACCAAAATTGTTGTTTTTCGTAGGGTGGCCCAACGGCAGCTACAGAAAAGTGGTACTTTAAATGTGAGCGTATGACTGTTGTTAACGAATATAAATATCTAGGGATACTGTTTACATACACTAAATCTGAACAAATCCATTATTAATTTGGCAATAAGAGGGAAAAGGGCCCTACTTCAATTGCTCTCTGTTATACCAAAGTTGGGGGTTGTTGGTCCCAATATATTTTTCAAATTGTTTGATTCCCCAAGTACAGCCTATTCTTCTTTATGGGTCTGAAATCTGGGGCAATAAGGAATTTTATGCCATTGAAAAGGTTCACCTTCTTGCATGTAAAAGGTTTTTAAATGTTGGGATGTCTACCCCTAATAATATGGTGTACGGTGAATGTGGGAGATTTCCTTTGTACATAATTTCTTACTCTCGCTGTTTAAAGTACTGGTGTAAAGTAATAAATATGCCAGAACATCGTCTGCCCAAAAAAACCTACAATATGATTGTCCATCTTATTGGTAAAAATACTTGGGCAACCCGTATTCGTATTCTTTTGTTTAGATACGGCTTTGGATTTGTTTGGCTATCCCAAACCCTGGTCGACGTTAATGCATTTATCAAACTCTTTCGTACCAGGGCTATTGATATCTTTAAACAAGACTGGCATTCATCTTTATATGAAAGTTCAAGATATGATTGCTATCGTGAGTTTAAATCTTTACTTGAACCTGAGTCGTATCTATACAACTTACGTAGTAAAAAGCTTCGTAGTGTTTTCATGCGCCTGAGACTTGGCCTAAATGATTTATATATCAATCAAGGAAGATATTCATCTGTTATAAAATCACAAAGGTTCTGTCCATTTTGTAATACTGTAGAGAATGAATTACACTTTCTATTTCTTTGTCCTGCATATAATGATTTAAGGCAACTGTATTTTCCACAATGGCTACAATCAAATATTAATGCTACAAAACTGTATTCAATACTTTCATGTAAAGCATCCCTATTACAATATAAGGTAGCTCTATTTATTTATCATGCGTTTATATTGAGAAGAGATTCAATGTAACGTGTGTGTCGCATGTTGTATATGTTGTACATATCATAC